CCAACCGCGTCCCGCTGCTGCATTCTCTTGAGTGCCATTGTAAGTGCACCGACAGTAGCAATCATCCCTGACGCATGTCAACCCATAAAGAATTTTGGCTATCATCTTGTACTTGTTTAATAAGATTAATCAGACATACCAGTCGGAATGAGAGGATGTTTCCTCATCTGTCTTCCTGCTTTGTCAATGAGACTCGGCCGCCTCGGTTCTTCGTATGCTTCTTCCATCATACAAGTGCTGCTGTCCGTTTATTTGGATGGGATTTCAAGCAGCCGTATGGGGCAGGAGGCAGAATGAGACTAGGGACTGCAGTGGAAACCGTCACCAAAAACCGCAATCCGCAACCGCGGATAGGTTATCCGCGGTTGAAATTCTCACGGTAACCACAGTAACCGCGGTTACACTGCTAACGTTCGACTCCATACACTACTTTTTTTGTTTTTTGTTTTTTCCTCTTTGTTTTTCAACACGAAACACTATTTTTTTTTACAAGAAGCAAATATTTGTATTGAATACAAACTATGGACAGGGTATATACAGAAAATGTACATGAAATATTAAGAGTACAGCTCTGTTATTCTAGCTTCAGGAATCAGAGTATGAACTTTGAAGGCATACACTCAATGTAGTATGTTACAACTGAAGGCATTCCACTGATCAATGTCTTATATAACCCTAACACCCCTGCCAGAGCCATAATATCTTCAACCATTACTCATGTAGAGAGTGCATTTTGTTAATAGTTCTGTAAAAACAAACAAGCAGACAGCTGTCACATGACTCACATCTTGTCAGACAAGGACATGTTGTAAGATGGGAAAAATATTGAATTTAAGGAGTGTAGGGTATAGTTCTGAGACATAGTAGAATGTTTTTTGTCTTTTTTTAGTTACTGTAATGAATACTAATACTTGGAAGTTATGAATGTCTATAGTAGATGTATTTGATTTCTATATACATCTGACAGATGTTACAGTTCTCCACTCTCATACCTTCAGTTTCAAGGGTTCTACACCCTTCTGTACCAGAACTCAGGACTTCTGTCTCTTGAGGGTACTGTCTATAAACTATATACATGCTGACTCTTACTACTACCCCTCCTTACTTCATTATTCTGTTCCTTTGACCACTCTTTTATTCTTTGTTCATTCTATAGTCTCTTACCCTTTGTCTATCCCTTCATTCTTTGTACCTTTATCTTTGACCTTCCTTTCTTTCATTCTTTGTAGCTTATCATTCTTAGTAGCTTATACTCTCTGAGTACTCTTGTATAGTTTAGTATATATAGGTGTACAAGATCAGACTGGTTCTGTAGTCTTGATCTTGTCTACTCTAGGTAGTCCTGTACTCTTAGGCTTACTCTATATACTCTACTCTTGTCTCACACACACTCTCTCTCTGTTCTACAAGTTCTGACTATGTTCTAGTGCTTGTATTCTGTATTTCTGTTGTATAAGATAGTTGTAGCCTAGGTCCCCTTACTGAGCCTTCAGGTCCCCTCTATACTGTTACTAACATTAGATTAAGACTCCTTATTACTACCCTACAACTCTCTTATGTTTTAGACATTAGTACTTACTATTGTATTAATCTCTTTTCTTTGTCCTAACCCTTTTACATTTTTAAATTTTAAACTTTCTAAACCCTTTTAAACTTTTGCCACCCTTCTTCTATTTATTACCCCTTTTAGTTTAGTGCTAATTCCTTTATAGTGTAAACATAGACCCTCCTACACTAACTGTCACCCCTACTGTCCTACTAGATTAGTAGTTGTAAGCAGACTTAGCTTAATATGTACAGACCTTTATCTAAGAGGCCTTTACTAACTATGTGCTCCTAGCCCTCTCAGAACCTGTTCTGATTGTTCTAGAAGTTGTAACCTGTTCTAGAAAGAAAGTGTATGTAGCCTACCCTTTAAACTTTAATTAGTAGTACTTTAAGGACTTTCAACACTAAGTTGAACTATATGTAGCTACTACTTTGACTAATCTATTCTCAGATCTTAATCATGTCCTATTTGTCCTCTCCTTCATGAAGGAAGGTAACATGGCCACCTAGGCTCAGAACTAGATTGAAGGACATTAGATTGAAAGCCTAATCTGACTTTAGAACAACAAGTTGTATTCAGAATTTATAAGACAGCTCTATACTTTCTTTATTAATCTGAATAAGAAGTGTAATACACAGAACAAGCTTGTGTCTCTACAACAGGACAAACATTCTACTAATACCTTCTTTCAGGAGTTTAATATTCTGGCCTAGAAGGCAGGATTTACACTCAGGTTTAATAATGTTCTTATTAGAATGCTTGAAAAAGCTCTTTACTCAGAACTAATTAATAAGATTCTTAGAATAATACTAGAACTGATTACTTACACTGAGTAGAAGACACACACTATTTCCTTTAACTAAGCTGTAGCTCAGATACATTAAGTCTGTATAGAATGTTTACACATGTGTCTAGCTCTAACAGTTTTAAGCCCTTAGATTAATCCACCTATAATTTACAATCAATCTGTTCTGATAGACATTAGAGAAGCCTAAAAGTAAGGAGTATACTTTACTTACAGAAAGTCAGAGTACTAAATTAAGAATTGCCTACAGAAGTAACAGTATATCTATTAGGTTATTAGAGTAATAATGAGTGACAAGCAGGATTTGTAGTAAGAAGCCTTTTCTACAAATCTAGAAGTCACCTCAGAACTCTTAGACTCTAACTATACACTCTAGGATTTTGTAAAGGTCTAACAGTAAATACAGTACTGAAGAGCTATGACTCAGATTTTTTAACAGCTACTTTTGATTCAAGAGACACTGTAGGATTAGAAGTAAATAAAGTAAGAAAAGTAGAAAAAGTAAATTAACAAAATTATTTATTAAAAAGAAAAAAGTTAAAAACAAAAGTAGATAGTTCTCTTATTCCTTCTGATTCTTTTGATTCTTCTCTTCACACTTCATCTGAGTCTAAATCTGTACAATCTGACTTACTACTTCTACATTCTGAAATCTCAGAATGTTTAGAACACTACCTAGTCCTGTTTACTACTTAGTAGTTTGTCTATAGTATTAAGTAAGGATAGTCTTAGTTAAGTTTACAGCTGAGAACATAGGTCTGTCCTTGTTGAAAGAGAGAGGTTAATAAGAAGATGTTAGTACATATACTTACCCTCTCAGACAACAAGACTGTACAAACTGTACATTCCCTTCAGAACAAGTAGTAGTTTATTAAAGAACATTCTAAACACTAGCTCTAAGTCCCTGTCCTCTTGACTCCCTTCTTAGGATCTCTCCAGATCTGAATAATAGTTCTAGTAGACAGTAGATACACTAGTTTATACATTAATAAGACCTTTGTGTTATGGTTCTCTACTCTTGTACCTTTAGTTCTAAGGGTTCTACACCCTTCTATACTAGAACTCAGGACTTCTGTCCCTTAGAGGTACTGTCTATAGATTATATGTGTACTGACTCTTACTACTACCCTTTCTTACTTTATCATTCTATTCCTTTGACTACCCCTTCACTCTTTGTTCATTCTATAGTCTCTTACTCTTTGTCCATCCCTTCATTCTTTGTACCTTTATCTTTGACCTTCCTTTCTTTCATTCTTTGTAGCTTATTATTCTTAGTAGCTCATACTCTCTAAGTACTCTTGTATAGTTTAGTATATATAAGTGTACAAGATCAGACTAGTCCTGTAGTCTTGATCTTGTTTACTCTAGGTAGTCCTGTACTCTTAGACTCACTCTATATACTCTACTCTTGCCTTACTCTCTCTCTCTACCTGTTTTACAAGTTCCAACTATGTTCTAGTACTTACATTCTGTATTTCTGTTATATAAAATAGTTGTAGTCTGAGTCCTCTTACTAAGCCTTCAGGTCCCCTCTACACTGTTACTAACATTAGATTAAGACTACTCATTACTACTCTACAACTCTCTTATGTTTCAAGTATTAGTACTTACTATTGTGTTAATCTCTTTTCTTTGTCCTAACCCTTTTACATTTTTAAATTTTAAACTTTCTAAACCCTTTTAAACCTTTGCCACCCTTCATTCTATTCATTACCCCTTTTAGTTTAGTGCCAATTCCTTTGTAGTGTAAACATGGACCCTCCTACACTAACTGTCACCCCTACTGTCCTACTAGATTAGTAGTTACAAGTAGACCTAACTTAATATGTATAGACCTCTATCTAAGAGGCCTTTACTAACTACATATCTCTAGCCCCTTTAGAACCTGTTCTAGTTGTTCTAGAAGTTACAACCTGTTCTAGAAAGAAAGTGTATATAGTCTACCCTTCAGACTTTAATAGGTAGTACTTTAAGGACTTCTAGTACCAAGTTGAACTATATGTAACTACTACTTTAACTGATCTATTCTCAGATCTCAATTGTGTCCTATTCAT